ATGACAAAATCGCTTTCTTTATATTTCAACTGCATTTTGTCAAGAGTTTTTAATTCTTTTGTAAGCAATTTGGTATAAACAAACTTGGGAAATGATTATAAACTCATAAAGTCACATAACTTAAACTAGAACACAAGATTCAAACTCGAACAACATATTTTAGACTAAGAAAATGTTTATAAATTGTATTTCAAACTTACGTAGTCACATTTCGCTGCATGTTCCCGCTAAGATTATTTCTTTAAAATGTTTCCAGGTATTATCCACATGCTCTTTTTGCCATACAATGTTTCTTAAACTCGTTCTTGTGCCAAAATTCAGTTAAATTCGTCCACATTTGTTAGAAATACTTATCTAAATTTCGCCGCCATATTGGATTTTGTTGTTTTGATTTCCCGCTACCCCCAGCCATCACGAAAATCATTAATTGCACTCCTGGAGAGTGCAATTAATGAAATAATTGCACTCCTCTTAACCAATCAGATTGCAGTAATTTTGTCATGTATATAATAATACGAGTAATTTTACTCAATATTTTTAGTATTATTATTTTTGAGTCAATTTTTATTATTTATACCAAAATTTTGTTATTTAGCTGGATGAAAAGATGATCATAACACAGTTTAAATTTCTACTCCCAGCCTCGCATCCAAACAGGTATTAATTTCTGATTCATTTCTTCATCCTAAAGGACGATTTACACTACACAACCTTTACCTAAAACTGTCGCATGGTTCGTACAAAACTTGAAAGTCTTTGAATGTCCTTGAATTTGAAAACAAAAATTCAAGCCCTTGAATGTCCTTGAATTTGTAAAGAAGTACTTGAAAGTCCTTAAATTTTTCTGTGCTGCGTGGTTATATTACTACCTTAAAAAATAAGCAGAAACTCGACGTTTCGAGCGAAGGCCCTTCGTCAAGAGTTAGTAGCTTCGTCAAGAGTTAGTAGTAGTTAGTAGCTTAACTTTTTCTTGCTTTAGTGTATGGATATTTTCTGAAATTGTTTCACATTCAAAACGGACATGTTGTGGAACTGTTTTTGCATGTTCATATCTGACAAAGCTGTTTGAAATTCATTAGTTGCGTTTTGAACAATTCAACGTCAAATTGTATTGATTTTTAACGTCTTCTCTTCAGTATTTAGTGCTTGAATTTGTTGATACATGGCCTTGAATGTTCTCAAAAAGTCCCTGAATTTGACTTTTCCTGACATGTACGAACCCTGGCAAGCTGCTTACAACTTGAGTTGTACTGTGTAAATCAAGCACACAACTCAACTACGACAACGTACGCAACAGTGTGTGCATGGTTTAAATCGACTTTAACTTTCCAAATTTCATTTTATTCAGACCCCGAGTTTCGTCTCCCGTCAATAAATCATCTCATACGTCTCACCACATTAAAGGTCTTCAATCAATGACGAGGGTAAGTTGAGTGGATAAAGTTTGCGTAGAGTACACACATAATAACGCACAAGTTGTAACAAACCTGCAGCAGACTTGTAGCAATGCTGTTCCAACAACTTATCAACAGGATGTGTTCGCACTGCTTGTTCCCAGCTTATTGACAAGTTTTCAACGGCTTTATGAGGTCGTTGAGCTCAACAGACTTGTTCCAAGTTGTTCCAACAACTTGTTATCGTCTTGCAATAGGAAATTCCATGCGCACAGGGGGTGACGGGAAGTAACGTATCATATTGCTTATTATGTTGAAAATTTTCAATAAAAACTGCCGAAACAACCAAAATATTTCAATATTTACAAGTATAATCTATCACTCCGTGTTTACACGGCCACCATTTTTATTTTTTCAGCATAATCAGCAATGTGATACCTTACTTCCCATCGTCCCCTGCACGCATAAACTAAAAGCTGGAGTTGCCTATTACACAATTTGTCAACACGTTGTGAGTGACAACCTTGTAGCAACTTGATGAAATAACAACATTGTCACAAATTGTTGACAAGCTTACTGCAAGTATGTTGTGAATACATCTTGTTGTTGCACGGCTTGATTAAAACGCATTTCATCCCACAAACCTTGATGAAAATTATTTTCATTTATCAAGGTATACAGTTTAAGCGAGGATCTGCACGAGCTAGCCTCGTATTCAGCGATACAAGATCCGTGCGAACGAACTGGTTTGATGGCTGCGTTTAGGACGTTTGATGAATTTCAAAAGTAAGTTCTTCTCTTGTTAATATTCCTGAATAATCTGCCGTCGTGGTTTGTGTCTGAACTACCTGAGAAAGATCACAAACAAAGGCAGTTTATTGTAGAATACTATACCTACACTGGACCACCACGTTTGAGATATCTTTTTTCAGATAGTTCAGACACAAAAATCTGCGTGACCACATACCCCAAATTTTAAACATTCTTGACAAATTTAACTTAAATATTCAGGTCTGCATGACTATTAACTTATTATTTTTTCATTGCCAGGAATTTTTCCAAGCTCATGTCACGTTTTGAAAGCCGTGAGAAAATGAAAAACAGCAGTAGTTTTCCTGGAAATGGTGGCGCTCCGAAATCTTCTCTGATGAAACGAAATATCTCCTTGAGTGCACCTAGCAGTGGCGCGTCACTTCAGACATTGTGGGAGTCTGGGGACCAGACTGATGCCGGCAAGGCAAGTGCTCTAAAAAGACTGGATGGCGTAGTACATTTTTCGCACGATATAAATTCGATATTACGAATAGCTTTGGAGGCTACTAAGGATTCAAAGCATCAAAGTGACTCCATTATTTTGACATAAAAAGACATCTGAAGTAATACATTTTAACCCTATGTCTATTCTGTGATTTTAACCATGTGTTTGAAAGGTTCATATTTGGTCTCCTAATAATGGCTGACTTTTAATTTGTGAAAGGTTTTTGAAGATGAAAATTTCAAGAGATCAGTATATCAACTTCAACTTTAATGATTATTTAACAAAAAAATTAAATTACAGCTTGCCCTGCAAATAGCAAAAAACTAATCGAGGCAGGGCAAGATAGATAGAAAATAGTTTTACAAATATTAGGACCTCCCAAAAGCCTGTGTTTTAATTTACAATTCCCTGATAGATATTTTATATTTTTAGAAATACGAAGAACCTGTTCATATTATAAACATCGCGTTGACTAAAAGTGGAATATGTACACGTATGACGGACTGTAGCGAGAAGCTTCTCGCATATTTAGAAAGCAAGGTATGGAGAATAGAGACTCTACAGAAGCCAGACTTCTTGGTTTTTCCTATGATTTTGACGCAACCCTTATTCGTCATCAACTGTTGACGCCATCATCCTAGCCAGTGTGCTTATGAGAGGTACTTACCCCCCTGATAATATTCAAAATGGCGAACATCCAGGGGGGAATATGTCTCATAAGCGCACTGGCTAGGACCATGGCGTCAGCATTTTGATGACGAATCATGGCGTGGCAGCGCTTACGCTTTTTTTGGCTGAGTCGACCTTCTGTATGTCTGTCAAAGCTACGTAAATCCTTGGAGAACCATTGTTGCTGAAACATTAATGTATTATTTCCTACTCTTTTTAGAGACCAATTTTGGTTGAAAAAGGAATTCGTCGGATAACTTTTCTTGTCACGGATTGCAAAGTAAGTCTTGCCTTTTGTAGCCTCCTGCGCAGGCCTCTCTATGGGTTTTAGCCTGCGAATGGGTTTTGACAACCCGATTCCTCGGGTGAGATGCCTGCGGAGGAGGCTATGCCTTGCGACGAAATCCAGTATTCTCATTGGCTGATACACCTCTCTTTGTTACATTTCCAGGGCAGTTCTCCATGGTACTTCACTTATCGAGCTTCGTCTAACGTGAGTATCTAAACCTCTTGTAGTTGTAACCTTTATTTCAGCAGGGTAACTCCATCAGTCCAAAGACTGTTCTCTTTGGAGGCCCTGTAAATATCTTTATTTATACTGGATAACTCTATCAGTTCTAAACTGTTCTGCCTAGAGGTCCAGTAAGGGTAATCTCTTATTGATCCAGTGTTATACAACAGAAGGAAACCTAAACTAACTTTTTTATATTCGAAAGCTCTGTCAGTTTTAAACTGTTCTCCCTAAAGATCCAGTAAGGATTATTCCATTGCACTTTTCTCACATGTAACTGAGGTGAAATTATAATCAGACAACTGTATATTGCAAGAATTGAACCTTAGTTGCAAACGTGAACGCCACATGCAGTAACTGCTGTAGCAGTCAATGGTCAGTGTTAAATCCTGGTTGTTGTTGTTTAGTTTATGGAAGATGCCATCTACCGTCATCTTGAACCAGCTCTGGCCTTTCAATTAGAACTCAACCGTTTGAGGAATTTCGACCTCGAGTCTGTCCCGACCACAAACCACAGTATCCACTTATATTTTGCCTCGGCTAAAAAGGTGCGTATTACCGTTGTTTTACATTAATGCAACCACTTACGAATGATTACAATTTCATTGATAATTAATAGGTAATTAATAGATAATTAATAATTAATCTAAAAAAAACTGATCTATTTTGGTTACAAAAAGGAATTGTGACTTTGTGAAGTGTTAACGGTCCACAAAGGGTCTTCAACAATAATTTTCTATAGATTTCTATGAAATTCTGATCAGATTCTCAGAAATCTTGTACTTTTCACATCTGATTTCAGTTTATGATTTTGTCTCAGATTTAGTCTTCGTGAACGCATTAAAATAATATATTTGGTACGCTTTCTAGATTTCGGTAAACGCTGAGGTGACTGATCATAGATTTTTTGTCAGAACAATCGTCCGTCATGCTGACTTCGTTTCAAAGGTTTGACTTGAAAATTAGAGAGTTTACTGGTCTTCAAATGATGTGGTATTTATTGGATCTGATCTTTTTACTTATCAGAGAGAACTCTTCTTATTTTGCAGGAAGCATCGTTTGATTATTTAGAGAAGGAAAGTGAGATTCAATGTCTTGAAACCATGGATCAACTGGAGATTGCTTTTGATCAATCTGTTAGTTTGTGTGTTCTCAATTTGTTGTTTTGTTTCCATGTTTGTTTGTTGTATGATGTGTTATATATTTTTATTTAGCCGAAGCGTACAGACTGCAATCATCTGTTTCTAAACTTTGTTCCCTGTATTGTCATCGAGTCTCATAGAGTAAGCGAAGCCTTTCAATATTTCTTTAAACTAGTGATTTCAATTAATTAATTAGAAGTAATTGATTACACTTAATTAATTAGAAGCACTTGATTACAATTGATTAATTAGACGTAATTGATTACAATTAATTAATTAGAAATACTTGATTACAATTAATTAATTAATTAGAAGTAATTGATTACAATTAATTAATTAGAAGTAATTGGTTACAATTAATTAATTAGAAGTAAGTGATTACAATTAATTAGAAGTAATTGATTGCAATTGATTAATTAGACGTAATTGATTACAATTAATTAACTACAAGTGATTGATTACAATTAATTAATTGGAAGTAATTGATTACATTGATTAAACCATGGTAATAAAAACACTATCTTCTTTTTAACTATCTATGATTAAGCTAGTAATATTAAGAGAAAGATTTGTTTCATTTTAGTTGGAGGAAAGTATTCGCTCAATTGTAATCCGCTACGGTAAACGACTGTGGAGACTGCGGGTGTTGCAGGCTGAAATGAAAATGAACATCAGGTAAACTGTGCGACATTGTATGTAAACCTCTTTCACGCAATTTTAAAGATGGTTTACACTATCAAAGTTTCTGTGATCACAGTAGGAATTTTGCATGGGTAAATTCTAAGTTTTGAAAGATTTGTAAGAAATGTTTGAGGAAACTGACTGAGTGTTATAAAGGATGGTTTACACTATCAAAGTTTCTGTGATCACAGTAGGAATTTTGCATGGGGAAATTCTAAGTTTTGAAGGATTTGTAAGAAATGTTTGAGGAAACTGACTCAGTGTTAAACACCAAATCAATTCCCTCAAACATTTCTCACAAATCCTTCAAAACTTAGAATTTACCTTTGCCAAATTCCTACTGTGATCACAGAAACTTTGATAGTGTAAACCTGGCTTAATTCAAACATTCTATCGTCTCTATTTTCGTCAACGTCTCTTCTAGGTTAAGTCCAAACGGTCAAAAGATTCCAATCCGAGTGTATTTATCCAACGAATCTGGTTACTATCTTGATGTCAGTATTTATCGAGAAGTGGAGGATCAGAGAACAGGACAGGTAGGTTATGCCACTAACGTTCATGCCCGTCGCTCGAAAGGTGAAAGTATTTCTGTATTTTCAGGGACTCAGATCCTGAATAATCATCTTTACCTGAACTACACATCTAAAAAACTTGCAGCAGACTTATACAATGCCACAGAATAGAGACATACAGAAGCCCAACTTCTTGGTTTTTCCTATGATTTTGGCGTAACCGTAATTTGTCATCAAAATTCTGTTGCGAACACATAATTTTCACATGGCAACCAAGCACGATATTCTTATGTATAGCTGTTTGATAAAATAATGTTTATTTCTCCCAGATTATCTTGGAGTCTTATGGCTTAAAGCAAGGTCCTTTACATGGTCTTCAAGTCAACTCACCTTACGTCACAAAAGATAGACTGCAGGTAATGGTAAATAAACACAAATTTAATATATCTACCAGGTGTCCAAAACAACTGGATACTGTTTGATTCATGTAACGTAAAAGCTATAAAAGCTATCGCAATTACATAAAGATCATTGCATTCACAAAGGACTAACTTAGATTTTGATATATAGCACTTCATATAGCAGTCAATATTGCTTGTATATATCTTTTCTGTTTAACAGCTTAAAAGATTTACTGCTCAGAATCAAGGCACTACATATGTCTACGATATCCCTGAATTGTTTAAACAGGTGAGGAAATGGAAATGCCCTAGTCAAGGGATGAGAGTTGAGAAGCGAGAGTTTGCATGAAAGTTTTCTCAACTCTCATGCCACGGTCAACGAGAACAAGAGTTGCATGAGAGTTGATGAGAGTTGAGAAGCAAGAGTTTGTATGAGAGTTTTCTCAACTCTCATGCCACGGTCAACGAGAACAAGAGTTGCATGAGAGTTGATGAGAGGTGAGAAGCGAGAGTTTGCATGAGAGTTTTCTCAACTCTCATACCCTGGTCAACGAGAACAAGAGTTGCATGAGAGTTGATGAGAGGTGAGAAGCGAGAGTTTGCATGAGAGTTTTCTCAACTCTCATGCCCCGGTCAACGAGAACAAGAGTTGCATGAGAGTTGATGAGAGGTGAGAAGCGAGAGTTTGCATGAGAGTTTTCTCAACTCTCATGTCCTGGTCAACGAGAACAAGAGTTGCATGAGAGTTGATGAGAGGTGAGAAGCGAGAGTTTGCATGAGAGATATTACCACACGCGTGGCGAAAACTCTCAGCAACTCTCATCAAAATTTGAACCAGCTCAAAGTTAACGAGAGTTAATAGGAGTTGGCCTGCAACTTTTATCAACTCTCATCAACTCTCAGCAACTGTCATCAACTGTTATCAACTCTCATCAACTGTCATCAACTCTCATCAACTGTCATCAACTCTCATCAACTCTCATCTTATTATTTCAGGCTGTTTTAAGATACTGGAAACAATGGTCAAAAGAACATGGCGAGGATATTAATCTAAAAAGAGAAGTGGTGAGAATTTCTTGAAATACAGAGGTTCGGATTTGATTTCCCTGATTTGATACGCATTTGATTGGCTACCCCCTGATTTAATACGCATTCGATTGGCTAATCGGGTAGCTAGTGACAGTGGAAGTCAAAATATGAACCTCTCTTTTTGACTATAAGAAATGGATTGAATACTGTGCATGGTATATGATGTCTGAATCTTATTTCAAGGTGGAAGCAAGTGAATATGTCCTGCAAGAAGACGAACAGCTACACCAAGTCAACAGATTGGCTGGGGAAAATAATGTAAGCGTACTTGAACAAATCCAGTCTGTTGAATTTCTAGTGATGGTCACCATCAATCAATTTTATTTCAAAGAAAAAACACGCTAGCGTCGCACAACTAAATGCTGATTTACAGGAGGGGTGTGGGAATTAATTGAATACAGGAGGGGTGTGGGATTTACAGGAGGGGTGTGGGAATTAATTGAATACAGGAGGGGTGTGGGAATTACAGGAGGGGTGTGGGAATTAATTGAATACAGGAGGGGTGTGGGATTTACAGGAGGGGTGTGGGAATTAATTGAATACAGGAGGGGTGTGGGATTTACAGGAGGGGTGTGGGATTTACAGGAGGGGTGTGGGAATTAATTGAATACAGGAGGGGTATGGGATTTACAGGAGGGGTGTGGGAATTAATTGAATACAGGAGGGGTGTGGGATTTACAGGAGGGGTGTGGGAATTAATTGAATATTGTATATACCCCCAACCCACCCCCACCCACCCCAAGAACAAAGAAATAAAGTCAAGTAAAGATGATACCTTGTCTTGTTTTGAATTTACAGGTTGGTGTGGTTGCTTGGCGCATGGCGCTCATTACTCCAGAATATCCCGAGGGAAGAGAGGTAGGATATGTTTCTAAGGTTTGAATACTAAATGGTATTTGTTGTTTACTTGTATTTTCTTTCCTATTTGACGGTCTTTTAGATTATCGTTGCCGCTAATGATATCACTCACGTAATTGGCTCATTTGCTGTCCAAGAGGATACTGTGTTTGAAGTAAGCAGTCTGTATGACTTACTCTCGCCCCCCTGTCACCTAATCACCCAATTCACTTACAAACTGTATATGGTTTAATTGCTCGGTTGCCTTTTTACAGTGGTAACTAGGCATGCGAGTTACCTGACTGGTTGCAACTGGTAAAGATACGCAAGTTGTCCATTGTCATTACAATAGACCTTTCCCCTTTTAAGTGAAATTTTGATCTAGACACGTCTGGACAAAACTTTCATCACAGCTTGAAAGAGCATCACAAAATTAGTAATATTCCAAAGTTTCGTTGCGAAATGTTGTAAAATGCGGATAATATAGCCTTGCGAAGTTTGCCGTTTTTCAGTCATTTTGCATTACGCACGGGAAATTGATAATCAGATGATCAAACTGATTATCAATTTTCCATTTATAATACAAAATGACTGAAAAACGGCAAACTTCGCAAGGCTATATGATCCGCATTTTACAACATTTCGCAACGAAACTTCGGAATATTACTAATTTTGTGATGCTCTTTCAAGCTGTGATGAAATGTTTGTCCAGACTTGTCTAGATCAAAATTTCACTCATAAGGGGAAAGGTCTATTGAATTGCCTGACCCAAAATCACTTTAAATCTTATTTCTTTCATATAGCGTGCCTTACAGTTGGCTCTCAGTGCGGGCATCCCATTCATCTATGTCTCAGCCAATAGCGGTGCTCGTCTTGGTCTCGCCGAAGATTTAAAACTTCAGTTTAAGGTGGCATGGGAAGATGCTGATGCACCTCAGAAGGTCAGAGCGATCTCAGCGAATACCGTTAATCTTCTTAGACGCCCTCACACTTTTAGTGGACGATATTCATCAACTCTCCCTCATTTTTCTTTTAACTTTAATGGATCTAACGTTCATCAATATAATCTCGTATTTACAGGGCTTCAAGTATCTCTATTTAACTACGAATGACTTTAAGAAGGTAAAACACAATCTGACAGCTTTAATCACCAGAAAAAAATTGTGAAATTCTTAAGTATCGAATTTGTGATTGCATCACGAAATCCATGGTATATCCATACTATGTCCATACTATATCCATGCATAGTATGTAAATCGCAACTAGTATGAAAATTGAATTTCCACACTATTTTTAACTAAGATTTACACCATTTCCATAATAAAGATTTTGAATGAAAACTTTCTAGTGTACGAGGTTGAAACCTCGATGTATCCATTCTGAAAATTTTCCAACAAATCTCTCTTTATTTTTAAGCTGAGTGCTTCAAACTCTGTGCGTGCCGAAGCAATTGAAGAGGACGAAGAATCGAGATATAAAATCACAGATGTGATTGGTAAATATTCTTGGCGTTTTATCTTGCTATTCCAAACATACAATAGTAGAGAAAATTCGTTTCTATCCACTCGACATACCTAAGGTTACTTATCTAGTACACGGCTAAAAGAACATCAAAAGGCTGTTTCAACTCTAGACAAGGGAAAATGTACAAAATGTTAAACATGAAAATGTTAAACATGTGTGTTACACCAA